CCTCCATATTATTTATTTGAACTCACTTTCAATTGGAGAATATTAAAAGAGGAAATTGGATAACGGATTTCTACCAGAGAGTTAGGTCCTTCTTTTACAATGTTCTATATATCTGTACATATACCTTTTTCTAGTTGATTATTCAGTTGACATCTATTCGTTTGAGTTTTGTTCATAGATTAAACTCGTGACTTTTTTAATATACCTACATAATTATCAAAAGTTCTTCCAATTTAAATAACTCTATTGTCAATAATGATTGTTAAAGGGTAATATATTTCAATTTAAATTAAATTACCAATTTAAACTTTACCCCCATGTTATTTAAACTCACTTTCGGTTGGAGAATATTAGAGGAGAGATTAGGATAAAATATTACTAGGAGAAAATTAGGTCCTTAGCCTTTCAATCTGATGATTTTTATGTTTATTTGCATGAGTTTAAGCTGTGTTATATAAGAGATGAAGCTGTGATGAATATAGACATAATTTAGGACAATGCATTTATTCCTTCAATTTCCTTTTCGAGCAACCACAGTCATGTGACTGCAGTTTCAATAGCAAGTAGGTTTTTACAGGATAGTTGTTAGTTCTATACCCAATCCTCGAGCTTTGAATCAGTTTCCTTTCTTCTAGACAAATTACCAACCAAGGCTAGAGCACCCAGTTTGCTCTGTTATTTTTTCAATAACTAGTGGGAGGAATGGATTGGTTCATGCCTTTCCTCAAGGCAAAATGAACACAAATTCAGTTGAATGCTAAATTTGGTTTGCTGATTCCATTTTCTGTGCAGTTAGACCACTTGCACCTCCATTTTTGAAGAAATGAACATTAAGGTTTTGGCTTCAGAAATTTGTATGTGAAGATTTCAATTTAGAAAATTGGAAAAGAGGCAGCTAGAAACCAATTAATGAAGTTTAAGGCAATAGTAGAAAATTATTCAAAGGCTACAATCAAAGAACTTATAGCAAAATCAATGTGTCAATAGAAATCATTTCAAATTATTTAAAAGTAAGTGATTGGCAAGAAAACAAAAATCTTGAAAAACTGGGTTTTATTTGAATTGAATGAGAAACCAAAAACTGGAGATTGACATAAATAATGATTAACAAACTGCATGAAAATGGTTGATTGTGGATGAAAATCTGAAACCTCAAAAATTGCATTCTATCATCTCTGAAAGATTATGGTGAATACATGGAGGAACAGGAATGCTTTACTGATAACTTTATTCAAAATGGTTAAACAGTAGCCAAAGGATCCACTTTCAATGTCTTTTCTTTTTCTTTTTCCCCCAACATGAAAGCAAGTGTAAACATTCTGAAAAATTATATACTTTTTATACATCACCCTGAACACTGTTTCAGCTTTGAATGCATTACTTCAAGTTGATCCAGATATTTTTGACCAGTAAGTGCTTGACCACTTTGAAGGAATTTACAACGTATCAAATTACTCTTGTTCCACTAAATATTAATTATGATATTTCAGGAATGTTGATGCAGTTTTGATTGATATTTTAGCTTCTCATTCACATCCAGTCACAGGGTAGGTTTTCTCTATTTATTACAAGTCATGGTATAATTCAAAACTGGATCAATTTCATGTTGTTGAACATGATTAAAACCAAATGTCTGACTTTTGTGTTTTACATTCAGTTCAGATAAAAGCTATTTATCAAGATTTTTTTTTTGTTGTTTTCCTTGCCAATTGATTTGAAATGATTTTCATCAATATATCCAAATTTTCATGTTATTTGTGCAAAAGTGAATGTAAAAAAACTCAACTGGAATTTTCACTCGGCTCAGGAATTTTTCTTTCCAATCTGCTAATTGTTATTCTACATACATATCTATGAACAAATTTATTAGTTCTAAAATATCAAATATTATTTCCAGAGGAAAATGTCAAGTTTAATACCAGGTTACCAATAATTAGCTGAATGCATTTAAGTGAGAAAAAAGAATTACTGTAATTTTCCCATTAATATCTTGACAGTGGAGTAATGGATAGCGGCTCAGATTGAGGAATCAGAGAGCCGAGTTTGAATTCTGGTCAAATTCATTACATTCGCATATGTGCTAATACCCTTAGGAAAGGTATGAATCCTCCTCTTCTCTCCCCCCAGCTATGGGTAAATAGCAGGACAGACCAGGTTCTATAGCCTTGGATGGCAACTGGTCTACCACAGAAAAAAATGGCAAACTACTGCAAGAAAAAAAATCTACCTCATCAGTCATGTATCGAAAGATACATGATCGCCTAAATGTGTATCACGCATGGCACATAACTATGTTAATATTTACTATTCTAAAGTATTTTTCCCAGTCAGTGTACATAGAAAATGATATTAATCATAATGAAGTCTATATGTACACCTGTACTGTGTAAGAGAGATTTATTTATCAAGTAAGAGCTTGTCGCTTATTTTCAGCGAACTTAATGAATAATATTTAATACTGATCCACTTCTCACATACCTTTGTGCATATCTGATTAAAACTTTGCTAAGCTCAAATAGGAATTAGAAAAACAAAGTTAATATCTTGAAACTCTGTTTACTCCCAAAGATTTTCATCAAGTATAATGATATTTATTAGCTATCATTGTACACAGTCTTATGTGAGCAGTCATGTGCAGCAACCTGCTTCATCAATAAATTATATATGTAATAAACTTTCTTTCCCACCTGAGGGGTTTGGATAAAAGAGTTTTTCTTTTGTAATTGCCCTTTGTGTGGATATTTGATACTGTGTCAAATTGGATAAAAAGACAGCTTTTTGTTCTGTTCCTATATTTTTTAAGTTGTATTGGATATCAAATTTAGCATTTTGCATACCAAACACTGACTTACTTCCTTGACATTCCACATAATTTTTTTTTTTCCTTTTTGAAGTAACATTATATCTTATGCTCTCCTTTGGATTTGAAAAGTTATACATTCAAAATAAAATGAAAAATACCATTCAGAATGCAATTATTTTATTTCAAGTTTTTCTTTAAAAAAAAATACTGAAATATGCTTGAACATTTATAGCCAGTAGATTTCAGATTTTGAAAAACTAAAGCGATTAAAAGGCTGCCGTTTATCTGAAATAAAAAGCAAAATACTATCAAAAAAGCATTAATTTATTCAAATTATAAATTTAAATAAGATTTTATTATCAGCCAATATTGTCACAGAAACAGGAATGTTGAAATTATATTTCATTTCAAACACTATTCATTTTATTACATGACTTTTCAAATTCAGGCAGGCCCAGGATATGAAGTTAATCCACATATTTTACATTGTAAGATTTAAAAAAAAAAAACAGTGTTATATGAACTAAATAGACACTTGAGGTCAACACTGAGCAGCGACAATCTATTTCCTGCTTGAATGCAAACGTCAGGCTATGGAGATTGTGTTCAAACATGAAACACTGTCTCTGCTCGGTGCTAACTTCAGCATCCACTTTTATATTTAAATACACCCAATCTCTGATATTGGACGCTTTTACCCATATATATATATATATATATATATATATATTAATTGAGTAAAATTAATGTGCGGTTTTCATAATATTTGCAGTTTTTATATATTTATATATATATATATATATATATGTGTGTGTGTGTATATATATATATATAATGCAAATATTATTAAAAAACGCACGCATTTTGCGTCAATTAATTTTACTGATCAACTTTATTAAATTATGAATAATCCTTCTCAGACTTTTTTGAAAAGTACAAGAAATATGGCCCAAGCTTTTGACTTTCTTAAATCCTCATCATCAGAGTATGTAGAGACAATGTTGAGTGTTGTGATGTAAGCCAGATGTAACATTTTAAATTTTTATATTGTGGACACTAATAAGTGTTTTAATATTAGGGAATTCATTTTCAAAGGTGGCAGAGATGAATGGCAAGATATATATTATAATTTTGAAATCTTCAACTTAACAATACCAAAATTACTTTTTGCAAAATAATTCCATATGACTTTCAAACTGGATTCCAGTATTTCATAGAAAATAAATTTTCTGTTATCAAATTATTTTGTTAGTGATACTAATTTTTTCTGTTAAACAAGATAAAAAAAAAACTTCTTTGTAAGTGTGTGTGTGTGTGTGTGTGTGTGTGTGTGTGTGTGTGTGTGTCTCATACATATTTATATGTGAAAGAGAGGATCACAATTAGTTATGTAAACTAAACAAGTTGCAGTTTATGACAGACTTTGAATAACCACCTGAAATATAGAAAGTGAAATTACAAAAATTTTTATTTCTCCAGGAGAATGGGAGGGAGCTTGCAAAAAAGGTGAAGTTGTTTATTTCAATTAATGTTTTACTCTTCATTTTTTTTCTGCTTGAAATCTCTCCCTTCCCTCTCTAATTCCAACCATGTCTCTCACACTATCCCTCACCACCCTCTGTCAACTTATATAAGCTTAATACTGCCCTTCAAAAATGTAAATTTTAAATTCATTTTTTCACTCTTAAAAGTGAAGTCTGAAGATCCAGAGAAAAATAAAATTTCTGAAATAAATTATAACAATGGAATCTTAAAGTGGTCCTTTTTTTTTTCTTTAAATTAAATTATTTGCTCTGACTTAACATTGCACTCTCCAGATTTCATCCTCCTTGGGATTATCCATACGGATTACCAAGATTTTCGTTACTTAAATAAATTATATATATATATAAACACTGCCATGAAGACTTCTTGCAAATTTTACTATACTGAAACTAAGGTTTAAAAATTTTATTTTTTGCACATACGAGAATGCATAAATAAATCTATATTTTGATATGAAATTTTCACTGCAATAATGTTCAATCTGTGTGATTAATATTCACCATTGAATTAAGTGCATTGACAAGAGAGTAGATGATATCAAAAATACTTGTTGCATACAATAAATGCATTTTTTAAAATTTTTTCATTATTAAGCTATGGCTGTATAAAGAATTGGTTATTCTTTTTATTTATTTTTTTTTTTTCATTTTAGCCAAAACAAACTGGATGAAGCCCTGCTAACCTCAGGCCGTGTGTCAGATGCTTTAAATTCACTCCAGGAATGGTTAAGTAAAGCAGAAACTACTTTGTCTGAGGATCTCCCAATTCTTGGAGACTATGACACTGTCAACTTATTAATAGAACAACACAAGGTATGTTGTACATATTTTCTGAAGTTGTATATGTCTTCTTTTTTTTTATATGTATTTAAAGATATTGTTAATATCTTCTAAATCATACAAATTTGAAAGTAGGGAATATTATTCTAAAACACATTTCACAACATTTGAATTAAAGCTAAGTTTAATCTTTAACTAAACTTTTTCAGAGATAACAATAATAACAGTTGATTAACAACTTTGTATCAGGTTATTAACATGTAGTTTTATTGAATCTGGCAGACAATGAAAATTTTGAAAGTTTTTTGGGGTGGGGGCTTTTCTAGTGTCCTTATAGTTTTTCTCTTAGGAGGGCAAAAACTGTCTGTGGAGATTATTGTCCTGAGCACTTTTGGATAATACTTTAGCCTCTTTTGAAGGGAAGTAGGGTTAATTTTTCATTAACACCCTCCTTGCAAATGACTAATGTATTGGCTGAAAGCTCTTAGGACAGTAATCACTATAGACAGTTTCTACACACTCTCAGCCCTCTTAAAAGAAAAACTAAGGACACTAGAAAAACTGACTAAAAACTTACAAAATTTTCTGTCATATTCAACATAAACACAAGAGATGCTCCAAAAATAATAAATATCTCTATGTAAACTACAATAGATACAAGGAACCAAACACTATTAGATAAAGTAATATTTCTGCTACAAAAGCTATTTTTCTATGCAGTTACTAGTATAAGCTATGCATTTTCAAGGAAATCTTAATTTCCATACAGTTTCATACAAATTGCATTTGCCAATGCTGAAATAAATTACATACCACCTAACTGTGATTACATTTACTATTTGGTTTCTGTAAACATTCAGCAAGCATTGATAAATGTTAATGGGATTTTCTTTCTTTTCCACATGGAATTCAATGACACACCTCTGCTTTGTACACACTTTCATGTCAGACACTATTTTGTCAGATTGCTGCTCAGTTGTTATCTGGAAAAAGTCAAAAATACTGTGTGTTATTTGAAGAAAATCTCTACTGCAATATCCACCTCTGACATTGTGAGCTAATATTAAAAAAAATATTCATTACTTTTGGAGAAAACTATATATGTGTGTGCATACCTATATACTTATAGAAAATAAAACTGCAACATCTTGAATATGCATTTCAATTAACTCAAAATTAAATGTACATGTAATATAACTGGATCACAGTAAATGATGACATATACAGATCAATACTTACACAAAATTAGGGGTGTATCATCATTACTCGGACACTATATTAGTATACTGTCTATCCTCCTTGGGCATTAATGCAGGCATGTACTATTGCATGCATGCAATCATACAAATATAGCAAGAAATGTAAGTCAAGTGGTGTCCCATATATGGGAGATAAGGTCTGTTGATCATGTCAGTCAGGAAAACTGTGAAATATCTTGCAGTGGAGGCTGAGTAGCATGGGCATTGTGTGGTTGACATTATCCTGGTGGAACAGTACATTGCCTTCCTGTTGTAGAAATAGCAGCATAACAGGTTAAATAATGTTCTGGAAATACATAGTGCTGTTAGAAGTGAAAGAGTTGTAACCTATAATCACCTGATACAATGTTGCCAGAAGTTGGGACTTTTTCATGGGTGACTATATTAGGGGAAATATCACTTACCAGGTCTACTTTGCATTTGGAAATGACCATTATTTTTTTATGAAGGTAGCACCTGTTCTCATCACCAAACCCTACAGAATACATTACCTGTAGTCCCGCTGCAAATAAATGATTCCCTATGATCCATATTGACACTCCTATTTTCTCTAACGTGTACTGGGGACACTATAACCTGCCACTGCTGCCCTTATAATGTGTCAATCTTGGCAATTGTCTGTAATCTGGGGCCATCTAGAACCTAGTCTACATTAGACCATAACTGCCAACAGCAAAATATCAATGGCACATCATATCCAACATGTACAGGACATTTAAATCAAGTGTGTTATAGAACTTCATTGGTGATATCATCATCAAAACCTTCAGCCAACCACTAAGGAGTTATGTTGGAAGGTACGATCAAGGACTTGATCACCTTACAGAAAGAAGATTGCTAGCATGACACAAACCCCAGGACCATCACAGATTGTATTAATTTGGTGTGTATTACTATGGGTACCTGTGGAGTCTGTGCAGAGCAACTGGTCATTTCTTCTGTTCACCTTTCAATCCTCATCCTGAGTATGCCAATAAACTACATGCATGTCTTGGGTATGACTATAAACTACATCCACATCCTGGATAAGATGACAAACTATGTCCAACAGCAAGGCCTCTGATCAGGAGGTTTTGAGGAGAGTGGAGCCAACTCTTAATTTCTGGTGTTCTCAGGTCCACCCTGACCCGAGGTTGTTGCACCTGTTAGGGTCCCAGTTATGGGCAAATAGTTAACCCCCAAACTTGAGTCAAAATACTATGTAAGTGTAAAAGTAGGTTTAATACCCAAAATATTTTGTAAAAAAAAAATTATTACCAGCAATACCTTTTTGAAAAAAATATAACCAGTGATACATATTTGAAGGAAAATTATTACCAGAAATAGATTTTTGAAGAAAAAATACTACTAACAATAAAAATTTTGTCTGCATTAAATAACCCATTGAGGTTGATGCCATAAAACAAAACCAACCAAACCTTTCAATCCTGGTCCGTCTTTTTTCCTTGTAAAAGAAAGTAATCATTGATTTAATTACACAGCTCTCCCAGACATAAACTTCACACTCCTCATTATCTTGAACTTTTACCTGACATCCTTGTACACCACAAATCTTGTAGTGGACTGCACCATTTTGAGCTTCTCAGTGATAGTCTTCAGCAACTTGTTGGGGTCATGGCTGATGATGTTGTGAACCTGCAAGATGAATTCAACTGCACTTACCACATCTACCAAGAATGATCTTTCTCTTGACCATGGATGATATGTCCCCACCAAAGATTTCCAACTCATTCTTGACCTTGAATGTGAAGGGCTTGTCTACTTCTAAAAAATTGACACTGTTAAAGTCTTAATGTTTGGCGGCTAGTGTCATGGTCATAACATGCCTTTTATTTTCCTCTATCAGATTAGAAACTGCCATGTTCTCAAATACCTGGTGCAGTGTGTGTGTGTGTGTAAAATCTATTAATCTAATAACACCCCTATATGAGGACATGCTGAAAAGCTCTCAGCCTGACCCACTTTTCAAAATCTGACCAAACTTAAAAAAAAACAAAAAAACCCTTGTTTATTTCAGCACCTCCTCGCTCTCTCTCATATATATATATATATATATATATATATATATATATAAACTGCATGCACACTATTTGACGGGTGTCACAGTGAGAATATAAACTAAAAATGATGCCTGAAAAATGTTTTAAATCTTAAATTAAACTGAATTTGTAACTTGTATCAATAAATTCTTTACAAAATTTAATTTAGTTTTTAACTTACTGATTATGGTGCAAGGCCACAAACTTAGAGCACTAATTGAATGTCATTCATTCATCTTACTAACCATTGTCCTACTGTAAAGGGAACCATGATGGATTTTAATTTATTAGTGTCAAAGATGATATCAGGATTTGATTTTTATATACACTGTGTTTTATAAGATTAAAAAGGCATTTAATATAAAACATTAAATTCACTGAAATTTATCAAGGTTGACAATAGGTGTAAGAGCTTTTTACCTGCCTGGTTATTTCCCCAAATGTTCCATCTCACGCTCTTTCATTATCAACTCCTCAGAGGTATTTTTTAAGATATAAGATGACAGGACAGAATGCAGGAATTAGGATTCATGCCTTTCTCCAAGGTCATTAATGTTAAGTGAACATGCAGTCTCAGCTGGAACCTTGTTTGTCAATTCTATATTCTGGGTTTATAACCATTAAGCTATGTCTAATATTAAAATAACTGGATTCCAATTATGGGAATCTTGTTTGGAATTGCAAGTAAGATGAATCATACCAGAATCCGCATTTTGTTTCTTTAGTCTGTCCAACAAGAATTAATTGCCAGAGAACAAACACTGGAAGCAGTCAAATCTGCTGGCAATATTCCTGACCAGCATCTTGATGAACTTATTGCCCTGTGGAATAAAATCAACATTCTAAGTGAGAACAGAGAGACCAGACTGAAGGAGGCACTAACTTTGGTAAGTATGAAGGAAATAATGACAAATTAATACCATATTTGATGAACTATAAAACCTATGCTTTATTATCAAATATTAAAATTTCATAAAATTATAATTGTTTCTTTGCTTTAAATGCTATGTCCTTTCAGGACAGACAAACCATTGTCTACATAGGTTACTATTTTTATCTGTTAAAGTTACTGGAATATTCTATCATCTTATTGATTCAATAATACTTTCATCACTAAACTATCTCTGACTATTCTACTGACATTTCTCTTTTAACAAACATTATGTCTGAACTGGTTTACTTTTATATAAGCAGCCAGTTCTAAATATTGGCTGCAATGAACAGAGAGAAAATAGATGAACTGTGCAAGAGGAAATTTACTTTATAATCCAATTCCTTAAGAGATAAGAAACTGCAAACCAAAAACAAATTCTACCTCAGCTTTCCCTGTAGCATCATTGTCTAAGGTGTCACAGGTGACTGGTCCTTTTTAAGTATAACAATCAAGGAATCCTTACAGTCATGAATTACATTTATTTACAATACTTTTATCTGTTATGAAAGAGTTAAACAAATTTATTGCTGTTTTAGATATTTGAATTCTTCTCTATTGCAGGTTTGCCTACAAATAGAAAATTTGGCTATGTTTGAAAGGCCAGCACTATTAAATTTTGAATTATGATTTATTGTTTATTTCCAATACATATATTGTTTACTAATGACCTGGGAGTCACAACAAAAATAAGCTGAAAAAATTTACTTGTCTAAAAGGTGAATAATTGATAATGCTTCTTTTAAGAAATTGATTTTTTTTTTTTTTTTTTTTATTATTATTTTCATAATATGTACTAATTTATATAAATCTGCATATAATTAAAGCATTTGTATCTGTTGACAGGCTGAAGAGTTCCAGGAAGTGGTTCAAGTCATGAGGGAGTTTCTCCCAACCGCTGAATCTGAACTCAAATTCCGTCCTCTTCCTGATGATGAATTTGCTATTATTCATTTAATAGAGAGGCATGAGGTAAGCATAATTCTTTTAGTATATTTTTACTGTTCTCCTGGAAATGAGAATATTAGTGACCTTTGTACAATGCAATTATCATTCCACCCTTTATTCAGGAAAAAAAACCTATTGTTCTCTCATTTTATCCTTTCATTATCCTTCCTCTTTCAATAACTTCCATTGCAAGTAAGCAGGCAATAATACAAGAGGCTGTTGAAAAGTTTGAAGTCCAAACCACATCCCTAAATCTAATCCAATATCAGAATTTTGGAGGGATTGAGAACATATGTCATATATCCTACTATCTCATCTGTACATATTTAAGATATCAAGAGAAATGTTTATAATTGTCATTACAAAAAGAAGCAATGCTTTGTACAAACAACACATATAAGTGATAATGTAAAAAATAAAAACAACTAAGTATTTTTCATTTGTAATAGCTTATATATATATATATATATATATATATATATATATATATATACACAAACACACAAATATGTGTGTAAGTTGTGTAATGGTTAAGAGCTTGGAACATAAAACTAACATAAACTGTTTGAATTCCAGTTGAGTTCCTTACATTTTCTTTTGCACAAATACTCCATCCCTTCTTCCTATAGGTAAAATAGAAAGGCAGACTGGGATCTTCAACCATGGGTGATAATCAGTTTAAGAGAAGTGAACTGAATTGAATAACTATATATACATACATACATATACTAAAAATGTTTTTTTTTAAATACCTTCTTGATCAGGTCAAGAACTTTTCAAGACCCCATTTCATATATAAGTGTGTGTGACTTTGATTGAGTTAGGGGTCTGAGACACTTGTCTTTTTGTGTATCCTTTCCTGTGAAAATATGACGACGCAAGAGAAAAAAGTCTAAAAGTAATAAGTTTTGATATTCATCATTCAATGGCATCTTCCCAAAGAACCATTTCTAGTTTTTGCTGTGCTTACAATCACTTTAGTCATCATATTTAATGTTCTTTGGAGAAATTCCCTTGACTGTTGTTGGCTTTTTTCATGTTTTGCTTGTGTCCCCTTCTGCTTTCCTCCAGTGCCTGTTATGTTTCAGAATATTGTCAAAAATGAGGAAGTTTGTCCAAAGAAAATCGTTATAAAATGTGTAAAACACACACTAATAAAGTCTGGGCAAGAATTGTCATCATTTTTTTTTTCTTTTAGTACTAAACTTTGTTACTTGAACAATTCTGCAAGTGACAAAATTCTCACATAAGGCTAGCTTTTAGTTTTATGACACATTGAGAGTTGAACTTTTTTCACATTGGAATAACAAATGAGCTTTGCAGATTTTCATATTTTAATTGTATTGCTCATTAGATATTTTACTGCTATAAAAGGGTTTTTTTTTTACCTGTTACAAAAACCAAAAATCTTTTAATTATAACTATTTTATATAGCCAGCCTCACTATTGTCAGTCATCTTTATATAGTGGGATAAGCTTAATTGTTTCTCTTTTTGTTGATCTGTGATATAGTTTGTACTTTTAAAAAAAAAATTTAATTTTTATCATTTTTCTGTTTCTCACTTTTTGTAATGAACAGAAATTTCAAGAGCAGCTGCGTAACCACCAAGATGCTGTTGATAAAATTAAAACACTTGCAGAAGAAATCCTTCTGAATTGCCATCCAAATGCTATTAGATTTGTCAAGTATTACTTGACTATTACACAGACCAGGTGGGACCAGGTAAGGCTAACTCGCTACCATTTTATATAAAAATATAATGCAATTTTTAACTTTCGTGCCCACAAAAAAAAAACCAGTCTGTCAAGAGGACTTATTTTTTTTCCTTGATACCGCTATTATTTTAACTACCTTCACTCTTCGGCAATGTTTGTTTTAAAAAGTGATGATTAGCATTTTAATAAAACTTGAACATGAGAAAGTGAATTTATACATTTTCTTTGTTCTTGAGAAGTGACAACAAAAATAATAAATATTATCAGATTATAATGGTTTCAAAGGAAAAAAATCACTCTCTTGACACTGTTTTTTGTGGACATGAAGGTTAAAGATTCTCAAATATATTTTATAGATGCATATGAATATGCAACAAATACTTAGAGATCATCAGTGATGCATTAAACTCTTAAGGAGTTTATAAACCTCAGAAATATATTAATTTAAGAAAGGTTAGTGTTTGGTAAAATAATTAAAAAAAAATAAGTGTTAGATCTTAAAATGAATACTTCTACATAACATGTCCGTTCAGGACAGAGAGATTGTGACTTTCCACAACTTCCTATCCTTGGTTACTCTTAGCAACATTTGTCTTTTTGTTATCCCTCCCAATCACTGTTCTGACATCAATCTTGTTAGTTTACCTCTGACTCTTTTACCTTCATTATGTCCTGTGAGTGTCAAATTTTCAAAGCCTTCTTTCCTCATTATGTGTTCTAGAAAATTCAACTTTCTCTTTCTGATTTCAAGTATTAATTTTGCTTAAATTACAGATTTTTTTATTTTTCCCCCAAATATTTTTCCTGGCAAATCTTGATTTCTTTTAAAAGTGTATTTTTATTTAACAAGTTTTGACAATGAAACTAAAATCATTGTCAAGAGCAAACATTTGTTGAAGAGGTTTCTTTCAGAGCTGGTGAAAAGCAGTAAACTTTGATTTAAATTGGAAGAAATTTGCAGGTACCCCCATAGGTTTATAGCCTGATAAAGAAAAGAAAAAAGCATTTTACACATCTAATATTCATTTTTCAACATCATTTTCAATGTACTTCATGCAATGCTGTATATTAGCTTTCACTGCTACATTATTATAGCATTGTTGCTTGACTGTGCTGGTCCATTTTGGAGAAAATAAGAAATTGCCATTTACTGAAAATAAATGACAAAATACTGATAGCAGTTTCTCATGAGCATCACCATTTTGATTTCAGTCAGAGACTCTGAAGAACAGACTAAGGTGAATGACACATCTCAACATACAATAAAAATACATAAGAAAACATATTGTACACTACTATATGTCTATAGTGGTGAGCACTAGTTAGTTTATAATATAAATGATTGAGGCCAACATTTCATGGTGTCTAGTAAACCTGCAGTATGGCAATCCTTGTAGAAGAGAACAACTCTGACTTCAAGACCATATGTATCCTTGGTGTAGCACATACTATGCAATTATTGACAAGATCATGGAATTCACAGTAACTATAATCTTGACTGCGTCAAGGTATTACTACTATTATTATTTTGTAGTGAACGAGATAATCACGTACCCCAGAAAAAAGTTCGTGTTTTGTGTGCGATCTGCCGGGGAGGGATTGCCAAAAAGAAAAGTAGTCAGCAAAACTCTTATAGCGACTTACCTCGTCAACCCAAGCGAAAAAGAAACAAGTTAAATCGCAGGAGTCGCTATAAGAGTGTATTAATATGCAAATTACGGAGCATCCTATCCCGGCTGTCGACGAATGGAAAAAATAGGTTCTGCCGATAAAAGCAGTTGGTGTTGTCGACTCGGGAGGAAAAATTCGGGCAGTTTGGCTACGGCGTTCGTGAGTTATTTTCCTGACGTGTTACAAGTGATTCTCTTTCTTTGTGTTGTGAAAGCCACAAATTTGCTTTGAGAACGCTTACTCTTCAAGCTATTTCGACATTTACTTTGTCTCGCAAGATGGCGGAAAGACTGTTCGATATAAAACTGATCCCCTAATTCAGTGGTGATACTAGTGGACAGTCTGTGGTTGAATGGATCGAAAAGGTGGAACTGGTCTGCGAATTATGCGAGATATCGAAGATTGATCGGATTCTTCCTCTGGCGATTGAATGGCGGTGCCCTTGCTGTGTATAGGCAGCTGAGTAAAGAACAGAGAAGCGACATTGAGCAAATAAAGCACGCTCTACTAACCGGCGTTTGGAACTGACCCGGTTCGTGGCCTACGACCAATTCCAGGCACGGCGTCTGCGACCTGGCGAGACAGTAGACGATATTTGGCAGAATTAAAGAAGCTCGCCCGTTCAATCGCACTGCTTCCTGAAGAATGGATGACATGTGCCTTCGTTTCTGGATTGCCCAGTCATGTTAAGCAGATACTCAGCGCATCATCCAGAATGGAAGACCTGACGCTCAATCAATTGTTGACCAGAGCCCGTGCTGTCATGATCGACGAAAAAAGAGGCTGATGAACCAGTGGCGCGGTTATTCAACCAATTGAAGTCAAAGAAGGTCCGACCCCAGCCATTCGTCACCATGGCGTTGCCACCTGCTATCGGTGCTCTGGGCGAATCATTTTGCCAGAGACTGCCGCTATCGGTCGGGCGCCAAAAAGGCACGTCTCGATCTACGATGCTTTCAATGTCAGAAAGTAGGTCATATTGCCTCTAAGTGCCGGAAATGGAATGGGGACGTGACGTCAGCGCCAGTCTCTTCCCCGCACCCGAGCATGAAAGTGGCGCTCCCTGTGATTAAGGTGCGCATCAATGGAATAACGCGTACCACTTTAATAGATTCTGGCTGCTCTCGGTCACTCTGTGGTTGATTTGCCGACAGTGGAGCAGACAAAAGATGGACGTACTAACGGCTGATGGAAAGGCTCTCAGAAGCCGGGAGTTGGAAACATCAAACTTAGTATTAACAACGGTGACCCTGTCACAGTCAGTGTGTTGGTCGTGGACACAATGGCGTTATTAGGTTTCGATCTGCTCCTTGGGATGGACATTATTAAGGAGCTGGGCGGCGACGCGCATTACAGAGGCAGGCGAAGTCAAGTTTTCTGATCCGCCCATCTGTGCTACTTTGAAGATTAACGAGCCCGACTTTAGCGCAGAGTTCGACCAAAGGGCGAAGACATGGACAGCATTTTGGAAATGGTCGGAAAATAACCCACCAGAAAAGCTCCAGAACCCAGTGTCAGAATATTCTGTGCCCGAACGCGTCAAGGAAGAATACCAGCGCGAATTGCAGGTGTGGCTGGATAACGGATGGCTGACTCCATATCCCGAGGAAGAGCTTGGTCCTCCAAGAGGCCTCATCCGTTGATGGCCGTGGTACAAAAGAACAAGGGAAAGGTGCGCCCTGTACTAGATTATAGAGAACTGAACGAACATGTAGACACATACACAGCTCATGCTGATGTGTGTGCACAAAAAATTGAGAGAATGGCGAACGAAGGGATCCAATGTCTCTGTGATTGACCTTGAAGGCCTACTTGCAGGTACGCGTGCACCGGTCACTGTGGCCATTTCAGATGGTGATTCTTAATGGGACGAGGTACTGCTTAACCCGAATGGGATTCGGACTCAATGTGGCGCGGCCATCATGAAAGCCATCGTGGATGCTGTGCTATCCCAGGATGAGACAATTCGTCAGCGGCGTCAGCCTACATTGGCGACATCTACATCAACGAAACCTTAGTACCCGCTTCACAGGTGAGATTGCATCTTGCTGACTTTGGGCTCGAATGTAAAACCCAGAACGACTGGAGGATGGTGCTCGGGTGCTCGGCTTGCAGGTCTGGGGAGCACAACATGCTGTACTGGAAACGTGGGCGAGCTCCCGGACATTCCCAACCACATGACCCGGCGCGGCGTGTTTTCGTTATGTGGAAAGCTGGTGGGACATTTTCCCGTGGGCGGGTGGATCCGCATTGCAACTGCATTTATTAAACGTAGGGTGACTGCTGTCACTTCGGTTGGGATGACACAACCAATGATGCTCCCCTTAGACACATGATAGGGAAGTCATTACTAGGGTGCGTCAAGGCGACTCCGTGACGTGGTAAATGGTGCGTTGACGGATGTGAATTTAACGTCTGGGTCGACGCGAGCTCCCTTGCAACAGGAGTGTCTCTTGAAGTAGGTGACACTGTCGTGGAAGATGCGTGTTGGTTGCGTCCCGAGAAGGATCGCAACATATTAACCTGTCAGAATTAGACGCCGTTATCAGGGGAGTCACCGCGGCCCTTCAATGGAATGCAAAGGTATTGCATTTATTCACGGATTCGCATGCGTGTATAAGTGGATAGCAGACACTCTTACAGGGAAGGCTAGGATACATACAAAGGCTGCGAGCGAGATGCTCATTCGAAGGAGGCTAGACACACTGGGAAAGTTGGTAAGTGAATACCACTTATCCGTGAACATACAGCTGGTCAGATCACAGCAGAACAAGGCCGATACTTTAACAAGGGTACCCCAAAAATGGCTTGACGCTATTAAGAAAGAGGTAGAGCGGTAGAACATGTCTGTGTAACATCAACGAGCAACTATAACTCAGATTTACTAAAATCTGTGCATTGCCAAAGCGGACATCCCGGTGTAAAACGGACCTTATATTTCGTGAGGCAGATTGATCCCTCCGTATCCAAAGCTGCTGTCAGGGCAGTGGTCAGAGAATGCAAGGAGTGTCAGTCCATCGACCCAGCACCTGTGCAATGGCAAAAAGGACAAGTGAGTGTAAGCAAGGTGTGGCACCGTGTTGGAATGGACATCACCCATTATAACGGACATCACTATTTAACCCTGATTGATTGTGGCCCAACCGGTTCACTATTTGGCGGCGTCTCGTCGACAGGATTCCCCAAGCGTCATTGACCACTTGGGGTCATTGTTCTTTGAACGTGGACCTCCGCCGGAACTCCTCACTGACAACGACATACACTGCATTCCGCAGTGAACTATTCAAAAGATTTTGTGGCTTCGTGGGGAGTACACCTCAGATTTTCGCTATGGCGTATGTCCCATCAGGGAATGGCATAGTCGGCGATGTCATCGGAGCATCAAAAGAATCGCTGCTAGGAAGCAGTGTTCCATAATGGAGGCGGTGTATTGGTACAATGTTACTCCGAGAGACAATAATGTATCGCCCTCAACCGCGCCAGCCAACATGATTTATCAGTATAAAGTCCCGCCACGAGGCATTGACGCAACACGTTCAACTGAACGGATAAACGAACGAAACGCCCGTATGACTTGGGCGATCGCGTGTGGGTGAAATCTCCACATAGCGGTGTACAACCCGGTACCGGGTGGGGCATGTCACCGGACTAAGTAACTCGCGTTCTGTGCTGGTTGATGGCATACCAAGACACATAAAGGACTTGCTTTACTATGTAGGTACAGATACGTCAACAAGTGACACTAGCAGTGAGTGCTCAGAAAGTGAACAAATAATTACCATCGGAGGTAGGGATAGCACCCCTTCAGATGGTGAAGACTCTGTGCGTGAGGTTGTCAGACCAGAAGAATCCTCAGAAGAAGAATCTTCAGAACATTCTTCAGATGATGAAGACTCTGCGCATGAGGTTGTCAGATCAGAAGAAACCTCAGAACATAACACACAACCTCCTCCCACAGTTGCCCTGCTCGGAGAAGCTTAAGAATAAAGAGGCCCGCCCATGAGTGTCACTTATGTGACAGGGGGAGTGTAGTGAACGAGATAATCACGTACCCGGAAAAAAAGTTCGTGTTTTGTGTGCGATCTGCGGGGAGGGATTGCCAAAAGAAAAGTAGTCAGCAAAACTCTTATAGCGACTTACCTCGTCAACAAGCGAAAAAGAAACAAGTTAAATGCGCAGGAGTCGCTATAAGAGTGTAAAAAGAAACAAGTTAAATGAAGGAGTCGCTATAAGAGTGTATTAATATGCAAATTACGGAGCATCCTATCCCGGCTGTCGACGAATGGAAAAAATAGGTTCTGCCGATAAAAAGCAGTTGGTGTTGTCGACTCGGGAGGAAAAATTCGGGCAGTTTTGGCTACGGCGTTCGTGAGTTATTTTCCTGACGTGTTACAAGTGATTCTCTTTCTTTGTGTTGTGAAAGCCACAAATTTGCTTTGAGAACGCTTACTCTTCATATTTATTGAAATATTTTCTCTAGTTTCATTTTCTTTCAAATACTTTAAAAATGAGAAAATTTTGAAATTGCTTTTTTTTTTTTTTTTTTTTGCTCTGTGACCATATGGATATTGATATTTTTCTCATAGCATTTTAAAATAATACTAATCACTTTTTTTTTTTCTTTTGGCTATTTCCAAGGGAAATCTATAATTCTCCAAATCTGTTTATGTATGTGGTCAGATGTTTATGCATTCCCACATTTTTCATCCAATTTCAATGAATTTTTTTTTTTTGTTTGATAGATAATTCTTCAGTCCCGGTTTTGAGTCCAAATTGTTGGTGACAATGGCTCTCCACTACTTCCTGTCCATTTTAACTCAGCAACATTTTACTATCTGTTCTTGGATATATATCTTTCATAAAACTTTCATAGACATAAATAGTTTAAATCATTACAATAATATTATTATTATACAGTTCCCTTTTCAGGAACCCTCCCCCCCTTCAAATTGTTAACCCCCGTTCGTCTGCAACAATTTGGGGATGTGCCTCAGTTGCACCCAATTGTTACTAACATTAAGTTTAAAGTCAACCCACCCAAAAAATCATACTGCTTCAATTGAACGGCAAAAATTCCCAGTAATAAAAGATCCGCTCAAGCTAGTATTGTAAATAAATGATAATGGCGTGTCCCATAAATTCAGGTAGAAGTCATGTGTATCTGTTTTCTATGATTTTGGTATTCACCAAATAAATTTGTGCAATGAATGAATTTTAAATTTCAGTTTGCTTTGAATTCTTAACATTATTTATTTATATATATATTAAATTTGACATTAAATAGCTTGCTGAAATTTTTCTCATTTCAGTTGGTTCAGCGTGCTCGAAGCCGGGCCCAGCGTCTCCAAGAGGCCCTGAAGAGTATCCAGGGTAATGCTGCACTATTAGAGGAATTACTAGCTTGGCTTACAGATGCTCAAGTCTTACTGGCAACTAAAGAGAAGGATCCTATACCACATGATCTAAATGTTGTAGAAACTTTGCTTAAAGAGCATTTGGTAAGTTCTCTTTGTAATAATAATAATAATAAAAGTATTCTGTCAGTAATGTTTGCATTAATGCCTGACTGTTGACAACTCAGTTCTTCCTGATTTTTCAATTTATTTCTATAAAATCATTAGCAATACATTTGCATATAATAGCCCTTTTCTCTCAGTAATCCCTGTATTAATTGCTGACCATTTACAATCCTGTTTTTCTGATTTACAATGCACAACCCATAGACTGAGTACAGAAACTTGCTAAAAGAAAGATGAGGTACAATAAATTGTAACATTTGCTGGTTAAATAATATTATTTATTCATAGCCCTCTGAACAATTTCCATCTTTAAAAAAAGAAAACATTAAAAAAAAAAAACACTTACCAAGTACTAATTCTTCTGGGAGTGGGATAAGATATAAACTTATTAAGAATGACTTTCAAGTAAATATTTCTCATAATTTGTATAAATAAATTAAATGAATTTACACAATGATCAACATTTTGCAATAAATGCTTTTAGCACAATGAATATAAATTCTGCCTGTGATATCAAGTTTACAAACAGCTATTTATTTATATAAGCCAATAAATGCTTTTAGAACTGGTTTAGGAAATTTATAAATTTCAAATGAAAATCAGGCTTGAAAGAACCAAGATTTGGTGGGTCTGAAACAGTAAAACTATAAAAGTCACTATAAAAGCTTTTTTTCTTACCAAAAAAATGCAGATATTAGTCTGAATAATTCATGGAATAATGAGAATTTTCTACTGCTTATTCTCTAAAGTACAATTCTGACATGAATTTTTTTTTTCTTATTCTGTGAGTACAAAATAAAAAGTTAAGAAATCAAGCAAAATCATATTAACCCTTCCAAATAAAAATGAGTCAAAATAACTCTGCTTTAAAGATTTTTTTTTTTTTTTTTTTTTACAATTTATATTTGATTAACAAATAATTTTTTTTTTTTTCACCCTCATCAACACCTTAGGAATGGAAATGACTTCTTTGCCTATTCATAACTGTACTAATACATACACTTTTGTTATTGTTTATTAGCTAATCTTCTTTTTTTTTCCCCTTAGGAGCTCCATGAAGAAGTAACCAGTAAAAATGCTGATGTTGATCGTTTGACAAAGATTGTTACATGTGAATCTAAATTGTCTCAGGGACGACATTATGGCAGGTAAATACTTTTATAGATCTAATGTAAGCAAGCATACCCTATAAAATAAAGTGTTTTGGAAGTTTTAAAACAGAAAAAGATAAATTCTTTAATATTTCTTTCAAAGATCAACGAGAAAGCCTGTGTTAGTTTGGCTCTAGACTTATGTTTGTTTTTAATATTTCCTATATCGGTCATAATCTTTTACCCAGATCTTTTTTATTCTCTTAAAGCCATTTCTACATGAATATAGTGCTTTTTATAATCTCTTTTCATAACCTCTTAAGTGTCCATACAGTTAAAAATCTCGCTTTACTCCTTAAAAACACTTCTCTATTATTATTGTTTATCAAAGTACTCTGTCAAAATTTGTTCTGATATTTCATAGTCTGCCAAGAAAAAGTAATGAATAATTTAGAAAATATTATATTTTTATCATAAAAAAAATCAGCACTATGTACATAGCTATATTTACCAATGCTGTTATTTAATTAAAAGACAAAAACAAAATAAACCAATGAATGGACAAATTTTTTGTGTCTCACGAGGAAACTGTTTCTGAATGAAAGTCTTTTTCACCATTTTCAGTTGATTACTCTACACAAATGTCAAGTTTTTGTGTTGCGTTGAAAATAATTTCCTATAGCGAGATTGTGAAATATCTACCAATTGCTAATTAATAGTCAGGCTTTTGAAGGTAGTTATAAATTCACAGGCATCATCAGCTAACTGGAGGAAAACAAATTTATTATTGCATGCAATAAAAAAAAAAATTGATGCTGTGTGTGAGAGAATCCTCCTAATGACTGATTTTTACCCAGATTAAACTGGACTAAATGGAGGCACAGTGGAGTAATGGATAATGGCTCAGCATGAGAAATCAGAAAGCTCAGTTTGACTTCCAGTCAAATTTGTTACATTCAGTTAAGTGCAAATACCTTTGGGAAAGGTATGAATCCATCACTTCTCTTCTTCTTCCATCTTTGTGTAAATAACATGACAGACTGCATCCTATAGCCTTCAGTGGCAACCAGTCTAGCTGAAGGACAACACTGAATCCAAAACTGCCAACTATGGGTAAATAGTAGGACTGGGCTCTGTAGCCTTGGTTGGCAACCAGTCTAGAAGGACAACTCTAAATTCAAAATCGTATATGAAGCTAAGGAAAACATCATGGAAACCCAACTATGGTTGGGTTCAAATGACTAAGATGATAGAAAAAAAAAAATAAAATAAAAAAAATATCCATTTTACTATTTGCAGCAACTGGAAGTTGAATGAAATGGATGGTCATAACCCAAGAGTTATAACTCTTCAAAACAAATGGCGGACAGTTTGGCGAATGTCTGTTGACCGCAAGAAGAAATTGCAAGATGCACTGGATACATTATTAGAGGTTTGTAGATTTTTTTTTTTTTTTTATATCTCTAAAGATTTACAATAAGAAGAAAATGAAGAGGAAATGAGATTTGACATTTTAAAAATTGTTCAGATACTTAAAACTTTTTTTTTTTAAGTTTATTATTTAGCAAGATTAAACAACTGAGCTGAACAAATATTTTGAACTTATACTGCTGGACTCAACACCCTGGTGTGTAGCCGCAACAAAGAAACACGTGATTAAACATAACCACAGGTTTATAGGAAGAAACCATTTATTCACAACTAAAGGCAAAGAACAATGTGTATGAAATTATATAACACTGAATGAACTTACTGTTTTTGTAGCAATTTAGTCCCGAACTAATCTAATGCCATTTCATAGTTAGGCATAATTCATTAGGATAAGTACTAAATGTTACAGCTGCAAAGGTCCTCTTAATCTGCGGTGGACTGGCCAGGGTATCAGCATGTGCAATGGCAAGTGTGTCCCTAGTAGAATGGGCCTCCTATATCAAATAAAAAATGCAATAAAGAAACAAACACAGACAACTGTTTTAGTAATAAAAAAGAATAAGAACTTTATAAATTCAATTGTAAACTATAAGTTACTCAAATCCAATGTGAGAGGACATTGTTAAAACTAAAGACAAGGTAAAGAAATTCACCGAGTAGAATTTGGAATCATGTGTTGCTATCCATTGTTAGATGAATTGGATCCAGAAGCAATTATTGGCAGATTTGAACAATCATCTAGTGAAAAACGAGTGTATGCAATGCTCTATTGTGCCTTTGAACTACCTGTTAATGTCTAAATTGTGCAGTAAACTATTTAAAAAAAATATCAACCAATTCCTTAAAATTAAAAAAAAATATATATTAATCATTCAATTATATTTTGTATTTACATTTGGTATCTACTGCAAGTAATATGTAAAGTACACTGTAATTACTAAAAAATACGCATTTTTTCCCCACAAAAATGTTAATTTTATCATTTTTGATATACGTTTTTAAAATTTTATTTATTCCCTATGAAAATTAAATGATAGCATTATAGTTGCAGATAAGCCCCGTGTCTCCTAGCAAGCAATATTTTTAGACCCAGCTCGCCACTGCTCTTGGCTTAAATATACGTGTTATCTATATTTTTCAGGTCTCCAACTGGGGATTTGGGCAAACTCATCTAACCAGCTTTGGCAACAAAGTAGAAGCTGATGATGATGTTTCATGACCCCACAATACATTAATTAATGATACATTTTCAACTGAATATAATCATAGAAAATAATTTGTTGAACTTAAAATATCAGTTTATTGGTATAATGCTCTGGTCTCTAATCACTTGTACAAGTAAAGCAGTACGAAAATGTGTCTCAATTTTAGTCTCTAGTCAAGGCATAGGAAACCTTTTTCAAGCAGTGGGCCGCATGATCAATGGCTTCACATGCACTACTAAATCAAGTATTTTCACTATGGACCATAAGCATAAGTGGATTTTTCTTTTCTTTTTTTTCTTTGGAGAAAAGATTTTTGTATAATTATATTTTTATATAATTAAAAACTTGATGTCTTGGTAAAATATTCGTACTGAAGAAACGTTTTTATTTTCAAACGTTAATCACCCTGATTAACGTTTGAAAATAAAAACGTTTCTTCTTCAGTGGAAAAAAAATTATTATTAAGGTTTCCTGTTAATCTTCCTTAGTGAAAATCACCAATGGTTTAAAATGAAAATATTATCAACAAAAGTTTACAGAATTCAAGAAACATTGTACTTAATTATTGTTTACGTCTGTGGTTATGCAAAAGAGAGAGAGAGAGAGAGAGATTGTGTGTGAACAAAATTTTAAGGAACATTATTTTCCTTATGAAATTCAGAATAACCGTACATGTTGTCCACAGCTTGCCCATGACTGCTCTAGTCTATAAAATATAATCATTGTAGGAACATTTAAGAAATAGTGAAAACCTAATGGTTGCATCTCTTGTTACATATTTCTGTGTATGTCCATGAGGATGGATTAAGATGCAGATCAATGCAAAACTCAAGGTAGGAAAATGCTGTGAATATGGAAGAAGAATTATCAAAAGTGCTTGAATATAGACACATGGAGAGAGTGTTTTCTTTTTTTTCTTTTTTTGTTTAGTGTTGATTGAAGGATTAGCATGAATTAGAAGAGTAATTATCATTGGGTAGAGTTGGGTTTTATATGTATGTATATATCAGTGAATGAAACAAAAGATCATTAGTTACCTCTTCAAGCCAAGGGGTGTCACCATATTTCCTTAGAAACAGTACATTTGCTTTCTTTTCTATAGAAGAGTGAAGAGGTTAGTGAATTGAAAGTTGTTGATGTTTGGACTATAAAGGCCAGTGGTGTTGCAGTGTATTAAGGTTTATATTATGAGAATAGCTGAAGGATGGAACACATTGATATCTAATCAGTATCAACTGAATCACCATGAAGAAGAGGTATGTTGTAAAAACTGAAACCACTAATGATCCTTGGCTAAAGACATCACTGATATGTGCCAAAACATCAAACAAATGTATTTCACAAAAAATATGATAACAAAATTACTTATGACAAATACTATCACACAGATATTAGTTATGACCACAGTGACAACTACAATGAACCTGAAGATCGACTAAGGGATGAAACAAATATATCATTTACTAATGCTGATTTATTTTAAAGTGGCAATTGGGAAATAGTAAAACTTATCCAAAATGTCTATTAGCAAATGGTCAGAACTCAAGACTTAGCAACAATTGTTATATTTTTACCATCATGTCAGAAATGAAACTATCTTGTGTTTTATTTAATATTTATATTTTTACCATCATGTCAGAAATGAAACTATCTTGTGTTTTATTTAATATTTATATTTTTGTTTCTTTCACAGCTTGAGAGTTTCAAAAACTTTAATTTTGATCTCTGGCGTCAGAGATATCTTAATTGGATCCAGGAAAAGAAATTCCGCATCACAGACTTCTTCAGGCGGCAGGACAAAGACTGTGACGGTGCTTTAACTCGAAAAGAGTTTGTGGACGGTATGCTACAATCAAGTAAGTTTTCTATCTACATGTCTCGGCTTATTTGATATGATTAGATTTTTCAACTAAATTCTCTTTCCATTGCATCTATACTCTCTATCCTTTTCTTACATTTTGTTTTGTTATTAATCAAAAAGTAATTTTTTTTTATTATCCCTTTTCAGAATTCCCTACCAACAAAACAGAATTGAATGCTGTATTTGATCTTTTCGACACAAACCGCACTGGCAGGATTGACTACCGAAATTTTACAGATGCTATGAAACCTGACAGGCATGTAAGTAGTGCTTCAAATACACAAGTGAAATATATTTTGCTTTCCACAGACGAAAACTGAAGGTGGAATATTTAGAGAAAACAAAGGATGAATCAACCAATTATTGTGGGTATATTTTAGGCTGAGTCATAATTAGTTTCTGTGTTTGGGAACCAACTGCAATGTCAAATATATCATACATGGCAATTAGGAATAAACCTGGGGTACACTTACTTTTTGTGTGGCAATAGCAGCATACACAGTAGATTAAATGAAAAATGTTCTCTGACAATGTGCAAGAATAAAACAAGAAAAATTATTTGAGCTCTGTTCATTCATTTGAACACTGCAAAATATTTTGATGAGGTAAACTTTCTTTAATGAAAAGAAATTCAAGAGTTTATCAAAAACTTTTTCACATCAAAACCTACAGAATTTTTATCTAGTAATCAAACACCAGATAATATGGTTTCTAAAAGAAATAGGAATTTCTAAATTCCTTCAAAAATTGTTATGTATAGATTGTCTTAGACGGATTAAACAACTTATTTCAAACGAATTGTAACTACCAAAAGTGAGCCTCACCAACTATTGGGAGGGGAGCAAAGTTTACATTTATATATGTATTTACCTTATTTGACATGCTGTTAAACAAAATCTAACCATCTAGTAATCTGATAAGTGGCAACAAGTCATTGCAAATTATGGTGGATATATATGTATAACAATAAAAATGTAATTTTACTTTATTCTTTAAAAAATAAAAGAAAAATTATTTATCACTCAATCTATAAAATATATATATATATATATATATATACAGTTTTGCTATATCACAGCTCATCAGTGTGGCTAGACATCCAATTGCTTGAAGCTGGGATCAAAACTTAACCGATTTGGCATCAGTCAGAGACTCTACCCTAAGCTATCGGCGCATGGAGATTATATATATATATATAATAAAGAAGGCTTAAACACTAGTACTCCATGGTCATAATTTATTACATTGAAATCATAAATATGATCCGATTCATCAGACCTACAAATTCAAAAAGAAATCAGAAAAAATAACTCCATATATGTATGTGTATATTAACCACTAATATATATTATTTGGGAAGGTGGTGAAAGATTTTTAGCCTATCCAAGAAAGGATTTCAAAACAAATCGATATTTGGCCACTTGGTTTGATTTTGGTAAGTGGGTACTGAAATGTTCTCAGCCTAACTCACTTTCCAAAATCTGACAAAGACAAATGAGAGAATTTTTTTTTTTTTTTTTTTTTTAAATGTTTAAGAAGTTTACAAGACTACCTTGTGTGTGTATGTATGCACATGTAATATAATCTGTGTTTTTTTTTTTTTTTACTTTTGCTATTAACCATTTAAATTTTACTAAGTTTATTGTAGCTTTCTTGGATTCAAAAGGAAAATGTTTTCTATGACATAGTTTTATGTAAACTGTCAGTGTTAAGATATTAAAATCTTTGTTGTTAAATATCCCAAAACAGATTGGGCAAAAGAAAATATTTGTTTCATTCATTTTGGAATATATATGTACACACAAGATCTTAATCTTTGCTTATGTAGTGTTTGCTAATATGAAAACTTTCTCTTGTATTAACATTCCAGAAAAAAGATGTTAAATAAAGTTGGTAATCTGCATTGATTCAAATTTTAAACAAATTTATAATCAATCAATACAATCTTTAGTCTGGAATTCAACCTATACATATTATTTACTCATTTTTCCCCCCCACTAGATTGCTTACGAAGCTATAAGGTAGATTTGTATTTATCAAATTTTGATGTAATCTTTTCAGAAAACTTCTCGTATGAAAACAGGTAAGCGACAGGCAACAGACTCTGAAATGATTCATGATGAAATTGAGCGGCAGATCTCCACTTGCCAGTGCCGGCATCAGTTTAAGGCAGAAAGAATTGATGAGGGACAATACAGAGTAAGTGAAAAAAGTATTTCTTGTTTGTTAGTCTAAACTGGTGTACCTTTTTGATGTGTCCCCATATTAGCAATAATCTGAAAAATTCCCTTGAGTGCTTCTGGAAGTTTTTAGCAAATTACCATTTTTACTATATTTGTATTTTGCAAATTATTTGAAGAGGAGAAAATGCTTGTAAACATTCTTGAAGTTTTAGATAATAACTTTTGGATTATTTATATTTGGACTAATGACCTGATCTTTATTTATTGCTTTATTAAATAAATAAATAAAAAAAAATACTGTGTTAGCAGCTTTCATTTAAATGTTTATTTTATATAGTTACTTGCAAAATTTTTATATTCTCTAGTTAAGACATCATTTTTTTTTAACCAACTTTTTTTCGTAAATTTTTAAATTCTTCAATACATGAAAAGAAATCAATCTCTTGATGCAGTCTAAAATGGCTATAATAAAACAATTGAGATATTTACCATCCATAATATGTAAGATATAAAATTTTCAGTCTTTTTTTTTTTATTAATCAATTCAGCTAATGCAAGGCAATATAGAGAGTAAAAGAGAATGAAAATACTTCAGGATTGGGTTTCAAGTTCCATCTAAACTGGAAACAAGGGATAAACCTCTAATCCTGTTCAAAAAACCAGTGAGGAGTATGAACAGGACAATAGGCAAACCTATCTACTCCTATTAAGAAAAATAAATAAATCGTAAATGAAATTTCAGAGTTTAGGTGAAGATGTTAGAATTATAGAGTCGGGGTAGACTTTAGAAGAACAGGAAACAAGGGATAAACTTCCACTCCTATTCAAAAGATCATGGAGGTGTGTGAACCAGATAATAGGCAAACATTTACATCATTGTTATTTATATATATATTTCTTTAAATTACTATGTTACGTAATGTTTATTTTCATTTTAAAATTTTTATTTCTTTTCTCTATTATAGTTTGGGGAGAACTTAAAATTGAAACTTGTGCGATTCCTCAACAGTTGTGTAATGGTCCGTGTTGGAGGAGGCTGGGTGACTTTAGAACAGTTCTTGGAAACCAACGATCCATGCAGAGGTACATTGCCATCTATCCTATGTTCTTTCTTTCTTTAACTGCATCACAAACATTGGTATCAACAGAAATGTCTTGAGAATTGAAATGCTTTGTATTTGGATTCAAACTAAAAGAAAAGACTAACCCACCACATTAAGAATTTCTTATTTTAATCAATCTGTTTTATCTTTTAAGTAGGAAGTAAAATTTAGAATTTCTGTTTCAAGTTTTCCCTCTATTCTTAATAAATAAGACACCGACACTATTGATTTCTCAGCCTGACCAATAAGGGATGAAAAAAAAACAAAACAATCTTTTGCATTTTGGGAAACAGAACAAGCCAATAACATTTATAATAATATTGCTATGTGAAAGGGTTCTTAATTCTAGTTTGAATCACAAAAAACAATTTTCTATAGATGTGGATATAATAGCAGCTAAGATATCCACAAATAACTGATGTGTACAAAGTGTTAGGCACCTAGTTTTATATATATGTATATAATTTATTTAAAAATTATAACATAAATATATTATAAAATCATTACAAAAATAACCATTTTGTTTCAATACTTCTGGTGTCTTATCAAGTGATGATGTTGAAATATATATATATATATATATATATATATATATGTGTGTGTGTTCTCTTTAAAAGAATATTTAACTAGTTGATAATACAATTTTGATTGGCTATTTATTACGAGAAAACAGTTGGACGCGAACTCTATAAAAAACATTTTACATGTGTTTTTACAATTTCAAACACAAAACAAACTTCTTAGTTTTCTTATTCTGAATGCTAAAGTACAATAACCCCCCAAAAAATTGACAGTAAAAGATTACTTCTTAATAAATTTGATTGTGGATGTTTTTTATATTTTTTACTCTTTAGAAAAATCTGCATTGATCATTATCAGGAGATGTAGAAGCAAGTATTCTTCCCCAATTCTGTATGTGTTCGTAGTCTTCAAAAGCACGGAAAATATTCTTAAGGCTTATTTCAAGCATATAATAAATTATTTATACCAAAGTTAAATGTAAATTTTTCAGTAATATATTTATTAAGTAACAAAGTTAGTTAATTTTTTTTTTGTGGTGCTTGATACACTCTTCATGAGGACTATCAAGTTTTTTTTTTATTTAGTTATTTAAAAAAAACATTTTCCCCCTTATCGTCTCTTGGTCTGTAGGATTTTTCTCTCTAGTCAAAAAACATTGTAAGGATGTTAGTAAAAACTTTTAAACACACTTATATGAAATAATATTCAAGTATTGGTTATTTGCTTTTATGATAAATTGGGGATGCTAGTATATCTAAGGCAGTCAGTTCACTAAATTTTCCCAGGAAGTATTTGGAATAAGCTTTAATTTAAAATATAAAAAACTAAAATTATGTGAATTCATGGAAGTAATTTTGGAAGCCTCTCCAAAGTCTTTCATCAATTTTTCTCTAATAGATTTTTCAAATAGGAAATGTGCTTCAATCATGATTTACCCTTGCCTACAGTTGAGTGAATGCCATATTGAACTGAAGAACCCAATTTAGCTATATCTAAAATATTAGACAACAGAATAAGAAATTTAACTTTTCTAAGTTCAGTATTTTACTATTACCCTATCTTAAAATTTAGTTCATTTATTAGCCCAGTCATATCTCAGGCCCTTGAGTTTACTTTGATCATTAAGTTACCAAAAGATGATTTCCTTTTTCCTTTCTGATTACTAGCTTTTAAAATAGTATTCTTAAAATGTCTTTTGCTAGCAATTTTACCTTAAGAAAATAAGAATTTTTACATTAAGAATTGTTCTCAGTGAGATTTCTCTCCATTTTGGTCTGTTGACTAATTTTAATCTTCAGAAATATTTCCTTCATAACTGGAAAAGAATGCTGACTGCATTTTGTTGTTAATGTAATTGATGTTGTTAAAAATCTATTTCTGGTTGCATGTTTTTGTTTTTTGCTACTCAAAACAATTTACACAATTTCATTCCATTCTGATTTAATTTTTCTCCATTTTGTCAGCTTCTTTGTAATATTTTACTGGTTTGTCACACTTATTTAAGGCGTTCAAGATGCAATGGACTTCAAAAGTGGAGGAATGAAAAAAAATGTGAGATTAGCCTTAGAGGATACAGAAAGATGATATGAAGTTTATTCTATTTTAATATTTTTCAATGAAAGCATATATATTATAGGAATCAATCTACTCCAAACAGTATTTTGAGTAGGTTTATTTGTTTTTTTTATATAGTGTGAATTATATCTACTGGCCTGTGCATTCAAGAGACTACATAAGTCCACACAAAACATTTGGAATAGTAGGAAATAGTCAGATGATAAAGGAAAAAGAAATTTATCAATTCCTTAGAAATTACTTTGTTTCGGATACAAAAACAAGAGCTTACAAGAGGATATCTAATGTTCAAAATGCTAATTCAACCTTGCCTGGTTGTAATGTTTTCTGTAGCTGAGTGGTTTCTCCTGCAAAGGGGGACACAGGTTTAAACTCTGCTGGAGAGCATATTTTCTTTAAGTTTCTCAGGTCAGTAGACATAGTTTCCACTAAAAAAAAAAAAAAAATGTGGTATTTACTGAAACTAACATTTAAATGAGAGTTGGCTTTTGAATAGTATAAGTTAAAATAGTGAGATTGAGATGTAAAATGTTAATGAAATAGATCTTACACATTTTTATTGAAATAACAAAAAAAAATTAATATCAAATTTTTCAGTCTTCTGAAATAAATTTTTAAAAGATTTTTTAAATAGGCTATTTTTTTCGTCAACTGAAAAAAAAAAAAATTATCTTTAACTTTTATTTGTTTTTCTGATAACTGAATCTGCTTTTACTCTCTATCCAACTTGCTCTTAGTGGTGAAAAAAATATCAGATTGGGATTTTTATCACTTTGCAATATTTATTGTTGTTGCATGAATGTGATTAATTTTACATGAATTTAAACTGTTTTTGCACTTGAAATTTTGCTAATGACTGTTTTCTTGAATGCAGTTTCCTTTTTATTGTCTTTAACTTTTTTAACCTGAGGGTTTTTTTTTTTTTTTTAAGATAGAGCAATTTGTGCATCCAATTATTTTTGGATTTGAGGGAATTAAAATGCTTTGTTATTTCTAGAAAAAAAAAAAAAAGGGTAATTTACAGAACTGCCAATATTGTCAGATGGATAGTAACTAATTTAAAATTAATAAATAAAATATACAAACTTACTTGATATAGATAACTTTTCTATGTTATGAAGGGGGTGCTGAAAAGTTCCCAGATCAGTCCACTTTCTAAAACCTGACCAAATATCAGAATTCCATCTTAATTAAACTGAGAACTTTCTAGCACCTTCAAAAAAAAAAAAATTAACCTTTTAACAAAATTAAATAAGATCTCTTCAAGATCATTTCACCGAAGATGAAAGGAAGAGAAATGCATGATTTCAAATTTAACATGTGTTTGCTCCTACAGCCAAAGGCCGAACTACTACAGAACTTCGAGAATCATTTGTGTTGGCAGAAGGGGTTGCACAAAGTCGTACAGCATTCCGTTCTAAAACTCCGGACCCACTCAGTAAAAAGAGATTGTCTGAAGGTTATGCATCATCAAACTCATCAGGTATTAAAATACAAGCCACAAAAAAAATCTCCACCCATTGCACGACCCTCCAATATCAATCAGACAATCAAATTTGCTTCTGAGAAAAAACACAACCAATCACATGCACAAATATCTTTAATTCAGTTGTTACTTCAAGAGAAATGTTCTTTTTATAGCAATAATCTTCCAAGCTTTGAGCAACTTCTTTGTTTTGCTTATGATATTACATTTCAGCCACCTTCAAGTGTATAGAAAGTGGGATTTTTTTTTTTTTTTAACATTATACACCTGAAGAAATCTGCAGAATGAACTGACTGAAATGTTTTAAACAACACAAAGGAGGGATTCAGTTCTTGGAATGTATTTATAAATAAGGATTTAATATTTACTCATTCATATTTTGAAACACTTTTTTAAATATTTCAATGTCTAACAGCTTATCCTCCGACCTAGAAGAGTTACTCCATGCAGAAAAAAAAATTAACACTACAATATCTTATCTTATTTTTTTATATCCATTAATGTAGGGATCAAAAAAAAAAACAAAACTTTTTCTTTTCATATTTTGTCTGTGTTTGGTTGGTTATTTCTTACAATAGCATGACTAATTTACAAACAAAATAACTGCCTTTTTCTATGAATGTAATTTTTCTTTATTCCATTATTTGCCAGTATGTCACTATAAAACTTTGCCTCCCTGCATTATTGCTGTGACCAGCAGTTCTATGGTGGACTGCTAATGTGCATGTAGTAAAAAGTTTGCCTTGAGGGGAACACATGAATGCAAGCGGTTACAGGAATCTGCTTCAACAGCATTTTTCTTTAGAATGGTTGCCTGATAATTTTTTTTCTTCTTGCTTTTAACCTTTCAGCTATCTAAAGCTGGTAAATTGGTTGTCTTTTCAAGATAAAAGTATTTAATATATTTTTCCACAGACTACAGTGTTACTCCATTTCTGAAAATGAACTTAAATATTATAAACATCTAGTATAATGATATGGACACTAGTTTGAATTAAAAAAAAAAAAAAAAAAAAATTTACTAATGCATCCAGGATAATTAAAAAAAATATTTAAGGAAATTTAAAATGCTATTACCAATGAGCCATTTTAACTAAGAAGCATGATATATAAATATACAAGAAAACTAGTTTGTTGTTAAACTCTTAAGCATTGACATTATTAGGGTATGAGGTTTCAAATAATAAGATTTTAGCTAGACTTCAATGTCAACACACTAATATCTTAGCTATGAGGCAAACCTTGTCTGGTGCAACCGGGGAGCAGAATTGGCCTTAAAGTTTTCCATCATTCTCCATTAAGAATAAAAAAAAAATGCCAATATGACTAAAGGGGGAATAACTGTTAACTTGGAAGTTTAATATCAGCCATTAAAATTATTGTTAGTCGTTTACCATCAATTTTGGCGTGCGCTTCCCTGCTTGTATTTTTTTACCTCTGCCACTTTTTTATACTATTTTTGTCTTTCCCTGAATGCATAAATTCCATTTTAACACTAATCCTTTTTCCTTATCCAGACAATGAGCATCAGCATCTTAATTTTTTTTTTTTTTTTTTAGTGGATTTACTTGATCTATTAGGCAAAAAAGCAAAGAAGTATAAAGTTGAAGAAGTTTCCTGTTTCCTTAGAAACAAAGAGGTGTCATCATTTTGTCTGCAAGTGTTATCTGCTAAATGGGCATGTGATCAAATGGTTAGAATGTTAGGGTTTCTGATCATGAGACCAGAACTCAAATCTTACCATGGTCGATTTGTCAAGAAGGTGACTTATTGAGAATATCAGCCACATAATGCACTGTTGGGAACATACCACAAGTTGACCCAAGCCTTATGAGTGAACTTGAGTAGATGAAACTGTTTAGAAGTTGTTGATGGTTGTCACATGACTGACTTTATTCAACAACTGATCACACCAGATAGTGGACCTTAGTAACAAACTACACAAATTATAGCTGCAGTATAAACAATAGGTTGGCTCTGTGGACAAATGGGCATGAGCAGGCATCTACAACAGTGATTAGCTAGCAATCATAGGCACCCCAGATGCCTACTACAAAGTTAAATTTACTTTAAATCAAATTTGCAGTGATTAAAATTACTTTCAAATTTTATTAATTCTGACATGGTTAAATCTGAACAAATAAGAGGTATTCATTATTTGGTTATGACATAACTGGGACAAGATCATTAATTTTGTAATTGCTACTATATTTTCTAATTTTGATTGAGTTACCATAAATGATAATTGCAAGGAATAATTAACTAACTAAATATTAAAATCAGATTATGCCTTTATTTGATATGGATATCAGCTTGGAACGAGAACTGAGAGCCAAGTTCGAATTCCAGTTGAGTTTGTTTTATTCACTTATACAGAAATACCCTTGGGGAAGGTATGGATCCATCTCTTCTCTTCTAAAGCTATAGGTTGAATAGCAGGACTGACTGGGTTTATTAGCCTTGGTTGTTAACCAGTCTACTGCAGAAAGTCATATATATCAGTCTATACATGATCACCCAGTCATGTATTACATGTGGCACTTAAATGACTGTTATATATATTTTTAAAATCTTATTTGGATAGTGGCTTGGATTGAGGAATCATAGAGCTGAGTTCAAATTCCAGTTGAATCCATTATATTCACATGCTAATAACCTTGGAAAAGGTATGAATCCTTTTCTTCTCCAGCTATGGGTAAACCAGGTTTTATAGCCCTGGATGGCAACTGGTCTACCGCAAAAAGAAATGGCATGCTACTGTGGGGAAAAAAATTTGCCTCATCAGTCATATATCAAAAGATACGATTGCCTAAGCATGTATCATGCATGGCACATAACTGACTGATTTGGAGACTAATAATTCATAGAAATAAATAAATGTTAAAATAAGGATATACATCTTGCACAGAATATTAATATCTTCACTTGCTTAAAGAAGAAATAGCTGGGAAAAAAAATGAAAACCATGGCAATAGTTATCTGAAAGTTTATAGCCATTCCTTATAGTAAGTAAAAATTTCTAAAGAAATGATTCCTTTTTATTTAGAAAAAGAGCTGTTTATATAATTATAAATACTGACTTAGTGGCAGCTGATAAAACTTGCAGCTATCAATCAAACATCTCGAGACTTTCTTTATCTCAATCTTCTCTACTTTTTAGTCTCTTCCAAAAATTTAGTTTACAATCAAATTCAAGGACTTTAATAACTTTGAATGTATTTTGTCTTGCTTAAAAAAATGATTAAAATGTTTTTTGTTCTCTTAAAAACTAAAAATTAACTTTACTATTGAATTTTTCAGCATGACTTACTTTTTTTTTTTTACCTCTTATTTCTATAAGATGTAAAAAGAAAATCACTGTGTACCATTCTAACAATAGTTTTGTAATTAGTAAAAGTTGGTTTCAGACTAACAGGACATATGCAGTTCTTCTCTTAAATAACAACTGCTTGTTAACTTGTGGTGGCATGTTCCTTCTGACACTTTGTAATTATTTTAACAAATACAAAATCTTTGTTGGGTTTTATTTGACTAAAAGAGTACAAAGTATACTCATTAATTATATATAATAAAAAGCTACTTTTGTTAAAACATGATGCTCCAACAGTCTGTGCATAAAAAATATATTTGGATCCATGTCTACATCACTGGCATTCATAAATGATTGATTTTCAAATACATTTAAACTAGGTAACCTATTAATCCTTTTAAATACATTTGTGAGCATAACTACCTCTAAAGAAATGGTATTCAAAGAAGTATTCTTACCACACAATTCTTTTTTTTTTTTATTGCATCTTACAAACTTAATTAAAATGATACATCTGAAATACTTTCTTCTAATATATAGATGTACATTATATCAGATGATTAAGAGAATTTTGAATAGTGTGTTAGTTTTTTCAACTGCTCTTTACCATCTTTCCCACTGCCATATTTTGCTATTGCCTACACATGTACAGGTGCCATACCAAGAGCTTTCATTCAAATCCTTATGTCACCCATGTATATTATGATTTACTAATGAAAAACAAAGAAAATAATGTTATATATTCAATTGATCACAAGAGAAAGTTTAACTATAATTTTTTTTTTTTTTTTTAATCCTAATAGTATTGATTTTTAAAGTATTTATGTTGTCTTACATTAATGATAAAAATAGTTGAAAATTCATAACAGCCTGATTTTTTGGAATAAATGAATATTTTTTACAATAGAAGACCGGCACTTCTAAAATTATTTTGAATTATTAATCTGGGCATCTGGTCCATTTTTTTTTTTTTTTTTTTTTTTTAATCATTTCTTTCCAAGATGCCACAAGGAGTTATGAATGGGAGAGAATGAGAAAAAGAAAACATTATTAAAGTGATAGAGAAAATGTGGATTGGAATCTGACAGACTGATGAGATAAAGAAATAATAGGAAACATTTAACAATCTAACATGTTTCATTTTCATCAGAGAATGAGATATATAGAAAAATAAATTTCTGGTATTTTTACTTTTGTATTTGGTTTTCATTGGTTAATAAGGTTTCACATGCATTTGACTTGTTAAACCAACATTAGTATAATTTGTGGTGTTCCAAATTCAAGGAGAGAACAGGAATTAAGAAGGCAAAGGATAACAATTGACATTGATCTTCAAAAATTTAAATGCAAAGTTGACTGAAAAGCAAGAAACTGGAAGAAAGTTCCATAATTGAGATATGTGAGAGAAGAAATTGTAAGCATAGAACACATGGTTACATCTGGCCATTTCAACTATAAAATGATGAGTCTTTGCCTTACTGGTAATACTTGCAATATCCTAACATTTGGTAGTCATTGACTGAACAGCCAGTGCTACTATCAGTTGAAATTTATAAAATCTTTCCACTAAAGCAATTATTCATAAAATCAAGTCCACTCTTCTTTCACTTTCCAACTTATACTAATACATTAACAATTAATTCTATTTCTAACAGATCATTTTCACAGTCAGCCTGAAAACAGTAAAATTCTAAATTTGAAATATATAAAAACATTAATGATGTAAATGATGGTTATGTTAAACAAAAATTACTATAGCTGTGAGTGACATTCAGGTACATGTTAAAATAATATTTTTTTTTCTTTTCAATAATAAACTAGTATGATTCTAATATACCAGCAACACACAAGTCATTAGCAGTCAAATATTTTTATAGGTAATTTTTCAAGTAGATTATCTATTAGTTGTATTTGTTCCTCACTGAGTGCTCAGTCAACATCTTTCACCAGTGAAAAGATAAATAAGTCGGTCATCACTGGGACAAAATGTATCTATTTTCCTTGCTTCAAATATTATTAGTCAAAAATGGCTTACAAGGCCTTCTGAGAATTACTCAGTCTGGTTGTCATGGTGTGAAAATTCAATCATCTATTGATAAATCTCTAATTTCAAAGCATACATGAAAGCTGGTATCTTACTTGAACTGATTCAATATCATATTGATTTCTACTATCAAGCATTTTTACATTGGATTAGAAATTAACACATATTTGTCTTGTTCATCTAAAAAGTATGAATACTATTAGCATAGTACCTGTAAACTTCTACCTCTGATCAATGCAATATCTGTATGCTTTGTAAAAAGTGTTTGGCATATTTTTTTTTAATCCTTTTGCCCCCAAGATGCAAGGTTACCAAATGTCAGAGAACAATAAAAGAAAAGGAATTAAGAAGACAAAAGATAACAATTGAAACTGCATTTAAATTTTTGAAGATCAAAGTTGACTGGGAAGCAAGAAGATAGTTCCACAAGCAAGGAGTGTAATAGAAGAAACTGTTAACATAAAACTTACATCTAGCCATTTCCACTCTAAAATGATGAGACCTTGCTGCCAATCTAATACTGCACTTAAATTCACAACGTCTAGGTACCATAGAGGAAAGTTTATATGCACAATTATCATGAAAGTATAGAAAAGGCACAGGGAAGCTAAATTATGGCAGTGGGAAAGTGACTGAAGCTGAGATGCCCAATCAAGACCAGTAACATTACAGATTCTTTGGATTTTATCAAAAATCTCTAAATATATAGGAGCACCAGACCAGATGTGACAGCAATATTTGATGAATGGTCAACTTATAAATATGTAAGATAGTTCACAGTGTCATGCTAGACAATTTTTCTTGCCAGAATCTAACTTTCCGAGCAGCAGATCATTGCTTAACATGGTTATTGAATTTTTATTAAATTTTAACAAAATACACTCATATAAATCACTTTTTTTTTCTTTTCATATAAGGGCAAATCAAAATTATAAATTTCTGTTCTAAGCCAGAAATGTATGAATACATGTATGGATATTTGTATAATTTATCTATATATTAAATAGTGCATTAAGTCTTTAATCATTTCTGTTTTAAACAGAAACTTATTTTAATTTGCCTTTTATATGAAAAAATCTGATTTATATAGGTGTATTGTTATTGAATTTTTATTACATTTTAAGTGCTAACTTTAGCTTTTGCTATCTAAAATAAGTTTCCTATCTCAGTTGATATAGTTCACTAAAGGTCATGTCACAGTTAATTGTGATTTCCATAATCCTTTCCATGACTGTATAGTATATGCTTTGCCAGGTTTATATAGAGTTTTGCATTCAGTCAACCTTAGACTGGTTATCAACCATGGCTAGAGGGCCCAGTCTACCCTGCTATTTAACCCATAGCTGGAGGGGAAAGAGATGGATTCCTAGAGTATTTGTGCAAAAATGAATATAATAAACATGGCCAGAATTAAGTCAGCTTGGCAATTTCTTATTTCAAGCTACTAACCATTAGATCAGAAATGATCTTCATACATGATTATATATATTAGACATAATTTAGAAAGCAATCTAGTGTACAAAACAAACAACCTCTGATGGTGGTAGGCAAACATGTCAGTCCATCAAGAACTAGTTTTTCTGTTTTGTTAATTTCATCTGCCTCGTAGCACAGAATAAGCTTGTACCTTGTTGCCTTCACAAGAATAACCAAATATGTTTATATTAAACAAGTACTTTCAATCAAATAAATATGTATTTAGTATTAATTTATCTATGAAAATAGCCAACTTTTCTAATTCAACAATTCATTAGAATGGATTCTGTTTTTTGCGGGTTTTTTTTCTACCTCCATTGTTTCTATCTCTGAGTCTTCATATTTCCTTCTGATTATTCCTGCTTTCGACCTCTATTGTACTTCCTTTAATCACCACATTACTAACAGAATGGACAAATGAATTTGTTTCTAGCTGGCAGTTACTCGTCTCCCTTAAGACGTTCTAAAGTGGGACACTCTATGATTAATTTGTCAGTGGGCAGCCCCTCTACACTGTATGATCACCCAGATTTTGGTAGGTAGCACCTTTCTGCATATTCATTTACTATTTACCTTTACCTTTTTAAATCACAGCTAAAATCTCCAAGATGTCTGACTTATTATTATTATTATTACTTTGCTATTCACCATTTTGATTCTGTTCTCCCTCACAAGCAAATTTCTTTTTCTTAACCTTCAGCTTGCATGTTCTTTTCATATTGTCTTGGAATGTTATGATATGCCTAAAAAAAACATAACTGCTTTTTATGCATTCTTTGCCTGAAGAAATAAAACTGCATTTTGGTTTGGTGGTGTGTGTGTTTGTGTTTTATTTTTAATATAATTTTGAGCTTTAAAAAAAATTTTTTTAAAGTTTTTTTTATTTTTATTTTAAGACATAAAAGAAGTGCAGTTTACTTTTTTTATTGCACTACTTTTGATGGATAATTATGATATCAGTTTTTATTTCAAATCTTTCACAAAAAAGACTAACAATATATAATTGCTTTTTAAAAATCATTGTTAAAATTAACTTATATATACATACATAACTTCTGAGTTATAAGTAACTTCTAAATTTGGTATTTGAAAGAAAATCATAAATTAATTATGTTCTATAAATCTTTTGTTTATATTTTTAACACATGAATGTGCGTTAATTTTTTTTAGCTTTTCATTTGCAATAAAATGTTCAACTATTTAATAAACAGTTTTAAATACATCCTGTATACAATAGCTTTCTTCTTGTAGGTATATCTACTACCAAGGACTTTCTAACAATCCTCCAGAAAACTGTTCAACAAAAATTAAAATGCTAAATATGTACTGCATTTGTTTGATACAGAGAAAACCCTTTATTTGAATAAGGGAATTTATTTAATGAGCCAAATTTGAACAAATATTTAAATACAATGTTTTCACTCTAAATTATGCTTCCAATAGGAAATAAATTTCTTGTCATTGTACAATTATATTAGTGGAAGCAGGGCCGGTGCAAAGGTCTTCTTTGTACCCCCCCCCCCAACCCGAATCTATGATATGGAGGCCCCTCATTCTACTACCTTATGAAAATTGAGATGTAGTATTCTTACAAAATACAAATTTTATTGTAACCTAATTATGTACAATAATGGATCATATGCAATATAAGTAAACAATTCAACTAGAAGAATTGAAAATATATACAATGTATCTAAATACAAATTACAGACATGTCATAATAGATCATTTCATCTTAAATCAACAATGTTTTGCATCAGATTTTAACACCGACTTGAGATTTTTCTTGTTAAAAAGTTGAAGAATTTTAAAACATTAAACATTAGTGAATTTTATATAGTGTGTTCTTGAGACTTAGCATGAGCAAAACAAATTCACAGAAAAAATGACCCCAGAAGGACATGAAAATCCACAAAAAATTTTTCATCCTTTAATAGTCAGAAGTTGATAAGATTGTGAAGGTCATAAATCAGGCTTGCCCCTCTCCCTGGTTTGTGGGTAGTATGCACTGGCCCTGGCTGGGAATACTAAGTAGTAAAATTAGATTAAATGGCACTTTTTTTAATGCATTGAAAACTACTTGATGAATTTATTTTCTTTCATCACTATCTACAACCAAAGTTGGTGAGAATTAAATCATAAACTTCTATTCTTAATTTAAAACACAAAAGCCTGTATTAAATTCATGCTGAAAGCATCGATTACAGAAGTAGCATCGAGCCCAGTCAGTACTTAGATGGGGGATCACCTGCTGTTATAAGCAACCTCCTACAATCCAGAATGAGGGACTAAAGAATTATTTATACATAAAATATACAAGCAAATAACATAAAAAAGCTCTTAAAATAAATCTATCACTTTCTCATTGCTATCAAATAAAGAGAATACAACTTTTTAACAAAATTTATTAAGTCTGTATTGGATAAAAGACAAAACTTAACTTGTAACACTAAAAATGATAAGTCATTTAACCTTTCAAGACCAGAAGTTTCATACACTGGGAGCACCTTAATGTGCCTGCAATCAGTAGCACTGTATTTCAATACAGTGATTTAGAACTTTTAGTCTCATAACCAGTAATATGAAAGGAGCTAAACTTGGTATCATTTGAAAGAGAAATCAATTTACTTTCATATAAAATCAACCTGGAATACTTAATTTTCAACAGTTTTGTTTTTTTTTTTTTTTTTATAGATATATCACTTTAATTGCACTAACATCACATTTAAGTCTTTCAACAATTTTCTCTGGACTCAAGAGCTGATAAAGTCAATTATTATTAAATCCCTGGAGTCTTTCTTTCTTACAATCTTTTAAGTGGTCTTTTTTATAATTTATTTATAATATTTTAAATCATTGAAGATTAAGATTACTTTGTATATTTATATTGTTTGGGGCAGTTTGGCATGGTGTACTGTTTAACAAGCTTGTCTCGTTTGATTATAACTGAGTAGTGAGTTTGATCCTCACTGGGTGCTCCATATTTTTGGCCTTGTGCCACATCTAAAACATACTTAGTAAATTACTATATTTATATTGATTTACTATTGTAATACATAAACTGTCACATATATATATGAAGATGTCTTTCTCTTTACATTGGAAAAAGATCTGTAATCATTAACTACTAATCTTTATTCACTAAAACTTATATATTCTTATTCTTTTCTGACATGTCTGAGACTTAAAATGTCATTATTTTATTAATCAGTAAAATTTTGTTCACTTTTTAAAAAAAAAAATAATTCCCTTCAGAATACTGAATTTAAAAATGGAAACTTCAAATTTAATGGAAGATTATATATTTGGAAATTTCTGTATTTATATTAGTTTTAATAACTTAAAATAAAAATACAACATTTTTTTTAAAATAAACTTTTTTAACAAATCTAGAAAATAATATTGAATTTTTTTTTCTCATAGGCTCCACTGGAAGCTTGAGCAGAAGCAAGCGCCTGAGTTCGTCATCAAATAGTCTGTCTTCAACAAAATCTCCACGCAACCCTAAAACTCCTGTAACCTCTAATACTAGACCAAAAACCCCAACAGCTAATAGCAAATCATCACAAGGATCAGGAACCTCAACTCCAGTAAGACCACGAAGTGTGACACCAAATCCAACACGCAGTGTAACACCTAATCCTATACGAATGGGGGCTCAACGGCGATTACCTACAACACCAAAGACTCCTACACGACCAAAAACACCCACAACTAGATAACCTCTCAAATATTCAATGAATATGGGAAGGTTAACCAGGGTGGGTATTATTACATAGATGCATATATATGCGTATAATTTAATGTGCACTCACATTTTTTTTTTTATGCAAACAAAAACAAAACATACCTGCTGACATTCAAGAAAGTATGCAATAAATGTTATCTAAAAATGATAACAGTTGTAATCTCCCACTTGGAACAATATCAAGAACATTTTTTTAAAATCAGGATACTGTGATCTTAAAAAAAGGTTTTGAATAAAACAAAACACGGGTGTTGTGTCACCTAATCATTGAAATTATTTTGTGTTGGAAATGTGCAGATCTTGTGTTTGAATTTAAATTTTGCTTGTTAATTTTGGTCAATGAGAGATTTTCAAAAATACAGACTTCAATGGTTTTCGTTTCTTTTTTTTTTTTTTTTTTTTAAACCAATCAGTTGCCATAAAATATGAGAGCATGTATATAATTAACTATGAGTATACATATATATATTTATGTGAACCTTCACTTAATCATTGTTTTCAGTGCTTCTTTGTTTGGGTTCCTTTTTGCCACTCATTTTCTTTTTTCTCTAAGTGATAAAGACAAACCAGCACTGAAGCACTGACAAATGAATATCATCATTCATATAAGACCAAAATTTTATGTTTCATTTCTGGAATATGCAACAAATAATTGTTCTTTACCGCCCAAATCATATCTGTGATGAGCAGAATTCTTTTTTCTTTCTTTTTTCTTCTTTACATTATTATTTTTTATTGTTATTTTTTTTTTTTTTAATACCAATTTACAAGTTATAAAAAGGATTTTTAATATTTCATTTTAAAGGACAACTTAAATTTCTATCATGTCCATTTTCAAATATTCAGATTTTTCAGAAAAATGTGCCAAGAAGAATGGGGGTAAATTATCTCCCATTATGTCCATATAAATTGCCTTTTCATGTGAACATTAAAAAACAGAATTAACATTAAAAAAAAAAAAAAAAAAATAATAATTAAATCCTTATCAGGTGGGATTCTGTCCACTCAGAAAACTAATTTTTATGAGTTTGACTTTTTTTTTTTTTAAGATCAGTGGTTTTTAAAAATTGTTTTCTATTTTTTTTTCTGTCAGCAGAACAATTGAATGAAAGTTTGAAAAGTATACAAGTTGAATTATGGATAGAAATTTTGTTTGCTAAATAGAAATATAAACTGCACTAATTTACATTTCTTTTTTTAAATAAATAAAATTCACTGATACTACTCATACTCTTATCTAAAGGAGGGAATATTTTTTTTGTTTCATTCTACTTTCAATATTCATTTAGTTTATTTTCCTTTACTACAAATAATTTTTTTCATTAATTGTAGGAAAAAGCTTTGTTTTTTTTCTCATTATTAACCTTAGAGATGAAAAATAATATGTACATTTATCTTAACATATATAAACATTCCATTTTTACCAGCTGGATAGATTAATAAAAAAATTTTTTTTTAAATTCCAGCAGGAGGTGGGGTGATGGGATTATTTATGACTTATCAAAAGAACTCTTTCAGCAATTTTCAGATTCTTCTTTTGAAAACAAAATAAAGAAAAATCTGAACAAACTAAAAACCCCTTTTCTAGAAGCTCTCAAAGATGGATCTCTCTAATTTATACAAGACCCCCCCCCACACACCAACCTTGCGAAGAATGTTAGTTTGGGTGAAGGATGAACAAATGTGTGTACATTAACTGTATTTTTTATGCTAATCTTCAGAAAAAAGTAATAACCAAGGAAGGACTTTTCTCTTGAGATTATATATATATATATATATATATATATATAAAAAAAAAAACCCTCTATAAACAAGATACTAGTTTCTCTTTTTTTTCTCTCTCTTTGTGTTGTCACTCACTGACCCACCCACCATTCAATTAGAATAGACATACATTTTACTTATTGTAACAGAACACAGATCAAGTTAAAGAAAAAAAAAATTCTCACTGATAAATTTTTCTAGAACAGCAAAAGCTCCCATAGTCTTGATTTGTGGTATAAAGCAGGTAAAACTACTTCCAACAATTCAAGAATAATAGCATTTTAAAGCTATTAATGGAAATATTTTTTGCTTTTGTGTAATTTTGAAAATTCATGTTAAATTAAAACTATAAATAGAACAAATTAAAAAAAAAAAAAATTTGAAGTATTATTCTAATGACATTTTCTGAATATTGTCTCAATATTGAAGAAAGCAAAGTAACTGCTCATTGGTGATTGATATAAAAATTTTCAATAAAAGAATCTCAAGGTTTATCAATAAGAATGTTATCCTGACTAGCTTATAGAAAATCCTTGAGTAATAGTAAACATTCCAAATGTTGTTTGGACAGCCAATCTCCTTTGCATCCTTGTTGACATGTTTGAGCTGATCCAGTCTTCAACTCTTATTAGGGGTACATTCCATGAAAACAAAAAAAAAAAAAAGGTATGTTTATGGAACAAGTGCAGAGTTTGGAATCAGCTGGCCATCTGAGTGGCAGTACAGGGTACCTAGCACTGCTAAAATGGATTGATTGAGTTGGTATATTAATGACTCCCTTTTCTGCTGTTATACTTTGTTTTGTTTTTTAATCTTTTTTTTAACAATATATACCTGAGGAGGACCAAACAATGACTCAGTAGAACCACTATATTAACATCTAGTGTATGGAGGTATTCAATCATCTGAACTATATTTGGAATAAAAATTGATTTTTTTTTTTTTTTTTTTTAACTATTTTAAAAATGTATTTTTTAAAGAATATAGGTGAATGAAGTTTGGAATAATTCTTTGCATATGAATGGAGCACATTTCATGCCAGTTCTGATAAATAAACCATTGTTTTCACCTCTTTATTCTTTACATAGCTTAAACAAAGGTCACACCAATAAACATTTTCAATCCCTTTCCTTATGTTGTTTAAAGACAGGCTTAAAATAGCCAATATAGAATGTATTTCCACAAAAAAAAAAGAACTGTATATAGACACAATTTAAATGAGAATTAACAAATTGGTGACAGCTTGTTCTTGGATCTGAGCCAAGTTATTAGGGTTCAGGAGTAAAGTAAAGATTTGCTGGTGAGTAAAACAACTACATTTAATGATCACTAATGAACCATTGGTGATCATTGTCTAGTTTGACTGTAATTCTCTACCATTTTGGGGAAAAACAGTTTAACTGGGTATTATAAGGAATCATATTTAGCCTCTTAGAAAGGCTTAACATTTTATTTAACTTAGTTAAAATAAATAAGCCTATTTTAAATTTCATATTAAGAAAAATAAAAGCAAATATTAAACAATTTTACTTTTATAACTGTCTTGTCATACAAAACATTTGGCTAAATCTGATTTTATTTTTTGTTTTCAATATAAATTTGGCTTTTGTTTTCTAAGTAGGAAAGCAGACAATTTAGAAGATTCATATTTGGGGATTTTTATTAATTTAGGATTTAAGACTTTTGTCTTTCTCCTTTTTATAGCACTTGAAATTTGCATCGTCTTAACATATTTCATTAAGGAATTTGTTCAGTGGGAAAGAAATTGTAAGGACTCTATATATAAGATTATACATTTGGGAATAGACTTGAATTTTTAAATTTCTGTGTGCACTAAGTACCAGGAAGGGGGTGGGGAGAAATTTCTAGTTTATTTTAATATTGTATTTTTATCAGATGTGTAGGAATGTTTTTACTTTTAGACAAAATGGCCTCATCAAAGATTTATAATTATCAATATTTGCGAAATAGATTTAGTTTTGCTATAAAAATGAATTCAGTAATTGACTTTAGCCCTGGATTATGCATTCCTCCATTTAATTTCATGAATGCCTGGGCACATAAGCAAATTTTTATTGATGATTGGTGTGTTTGAGACAATACGTATCTTTCAGAATAGATGCAGTGCTACCTTGCCAATACCTGATAACATTTTAATCTTCTCTCAACCCTGTTTCAATAAATTATTTCTATTTGAATGTAAGCTTTCAAATAATAAAGAGAAATGGCTTATTTAACATCCCTTTCAACATCCTAAACTGCACATATGAAAATATTAATAATGATTTTTGCTATCAATGAAGATTTCTGGATTTCATTTCTTCCCTTAAAATTTTTTTTGTTCTTTTACTGTATTTTTGTCATAGAAAGAATTCCTTCCCCATTTTTCTTTTTTTTTTTTTAACACTCGAAAAATGCAAATGTTTAAATTGTAATAACATGGTATTCTTTAATTAAAACTGGAATAGATTAAAAATATAGACATAGAAAAAAATATTTCTGATTAAAATAAAACAATTAAAAACAGATTTAAAAAATTCATCAATATTACTTCAGTGTTAAATATTTCCACTATTATTTTACCACATTGTTGACTAAAATAATTTTTTTTTCTCTCTCTTAAAATGAACATAAAAAAAACTAAACTTAAATCATTTTCCCCTCCTTCACATATCAAAATGTACATATATATTTTCCCCTCCTCAAATTTATATACCTTGTCTATAATACAGGATGCAAGGTGGGACTTGTTTTTTGGGATGTTGTTTTTTTTTTTATCTCCTCCGCCCCTTCAGTTTGTGCTGGGTGGGATAGGACTGTCAGTGGACAACATCAGTCTTATCAATTTTGTCGCCTTCTATCTTTTAATGTACAAATTGTTAACTGTACAAAAAACTATTGTAATAATAAAAAATGTTTAAAAAAAAAAATAATTGACTTTCAATTCTGTTATGAATTTTTCTGAAAATGGTAGAACTTTTCATGATTGTTTGGGATGCTGTCATCCATTTCAATATTATATGAGTAGCATATTTGTTTTCATTATTTGTGCTTGTGTTGTTGATCCTCACTGAGTACTCAACTCTTATAGCCTTTTGCCTAATTCAGATAAGTTTGGTAAACATCTTCATATAAAACTAGCTCAGAGAATCTTTCTCTTTTGTTCATCATTAACATGTTCTCTTTAACAGATCATTCAGTGTTTAAACT